GGCTAAAAAGTGGGCGTACACAATTAATTCTGATCGTCTTTGGGTTGGAGAGGACCTAGATCTAATGGTTTTACTTTCACTCTCTTTTTGTCAATTTTATTTCTAGAGTTGAGTCTATTTTTGGGGGGCTAAAAATCAGCTCATTCATCCTGCATTGGAAAAGTACATTCAAATAATAACACTTCCACTTTTTGCCACTACTCACCATTCAAATGCCCAGGAAACAGTGCAATATGAAATCACCTTCTCGTTGACCCAGGGTTACAGAGGCTGAGCAAGACCTAAAATAATGGCAAGACTATGATATGAACCAATCGCAATTCACTTATGAGCACTCCGTTTGGTTGCTCTAGAGCTCACAAAATGTGGGTATAGAACAGTGTAGGCTATCGTGACCAGTCTGAGATCCCGGTTGTTAATTTTTTTGACTGTCTTCTGTATGCACTGTATCGGCTGGCCCACATTTGAGGTTTGTCGTTTTATTCAAAGAAGTTATAACCTCTTTTCGTCTTATTAATATTAATGTACAGCCAAACTCGCTGCAAGCGTCGCCGTTTCCTGGGTTAGCCCAGTCCAGAGGTCAGATTACCACTGTTGAACATCCTGTTGTGCTTAGTTAAAGCAAGAGGACTTTGGTATGGCATGGTAGATGTTTTCCGGCGCTACAGACATTTAATAATATGAATGGCCATTAATGCGCCAGCGAGGACCTGGTATTGATAAAATATTTGGCTACTGCTTGAAGCTGGCTTATTTTATTTTCTGTTTATGGGTGCTTTAAGTATTAGAACATTAACTATCTCTGGACAACACTGCCCAACCAAACTCAATAGGCAAACCGCCCCCCCCTGGGAACTGAATGACAAGTGAACAGTAAACACCGTATCTCTAGACAACGAGAGCCCCTAAGCTACTCTTACGGCTCAATTTAGGCTATCAGACAAAGTAAGGAGGAACAGAGAGACTAAAAAAAAGCAAACAATATTAGGCTATTACGATTGTGAAACGGTGTCGAAACAGGGCCACTCTAACGGTAGTCTACTGAGCTTGCAGTATGAATGACCACCACTAAACGTCCACAACAACAACAATTTAAAATTGTATTTCAATAATTCAACTTACCCAAAAAGGCTCCCCGTTACAGAACTCGATCATAGCGAGATTAAGAATTTCACCCAAAAAATATATACAAATGCTTGAGTGAACTAGGGGGATCTGGTTTCAAACTATAATTTTTCTTCGTATGAATATGTTGCCTGGACCTTTACTGTGATATAAATACCCGCTGAATTTCAACGTCTGAGCTAAGATCTTTGGTCTCCTCAGTCAAGTCCAGTCAAGCAGTGGCCCCCCTTCGCCGCGGGTATTGGTCTATTAGTGCGTGTTCATACGAAGCGACTTTGTCAGTGTTGAATGATCCGATGTAGGCGTACGTGCCGTTGCACGATTTATTTGTTTGTTGTTTGTTTAGTATAGGGTTTTACGGCGCTCGCAACTGCATAAGGTCATATGAGCGCGCGGGAC